ACACACACACACACACACACACACACGAGCAACCCTGAGGTATCTGCTCCCAGTAACACCACCAAGAGTGAATGCAAGAAGCCAGCTGGGCTGTCGCCTCCTGCCCCAGCTCTTCTCAGATTCCGGTTACCATCGACCTTCTCATGAGGGCTAAGTACCAGCTAGACTACGTGACTGCCGGGTTCCATCAAGACAGGACAAATGCATTCCTTCTAAAGCCAAACACAGCCCCCTGAGGAGTCTTCTCGTGATGATGGCTATCCGGCATTGGTTCAGCGTTGACCCTTACACAGAGTCAGTACCAGGGGGTGAGATATGTCATTGTGAGCTCCAAAGGCCCTTACCTGCACTAACTTGAGGTTCCAGGGCGGGTGGTTAATCAGACCTTCTAGGTTGACCTGGTTGCTCACGGCAGCCTGCAGTTCCACGTAGGTGCTGCTGTCCAGCTGTAACCCCGGAAACAGGTCGTTGATCAAGCTGAGGAACAGGGGCTCGTCTTCATCAACCTAAGATGGCATTGACACAAATGTAGCCAGTCAACAATCATTCCTTAGCTGAGTAGGGTGTGTGCGTGGTCCTCACCACTTTATTCCCAGAGGATCGTTTCTTAACTCCTAGGCAGGCTGGCACTCTCCCCTTGGCATGCTCGACGCCACCGCTAAACCAACACCTATGGCGCTCAAAATACCTAGGCATCCCACAATCCAGCCTTGATCCGTGTTTCATCTTGTTATTTTATCTGCCCCTCACAGGCTCATATTCATGGTAACCTTAAAGCAGGCTATTTATAGTCCCACCACCATGGAAACAGGGTATTGATAGCCCACTTACAGTAGGAAACAGCCCCTATCCTCAGGGACTTCATCCAGCAGCTGCCGGACACTCCATCTGAGAGTGTCCTGCCTTTGTTTTCAAGGACTGGGTTTGAGCACGCCGACTCCCACTCTTGGTTTGCCGTGTCTTTAAGACACAGATCGCCCAGTTCCCAACTTCCAGCCCCTTCTCACGTTCTTCTATCCTCTGAAGCCCCCCCCCCCCCCCGGAATGACTTTTGTGTTGTTTTAAGATTTATTCTTATTTATGTGCCTATATCTGTATGTGGGCATTTGCACCTGCGTGCAGGGACCCACAGAGGGCAGGAGAGGGTGGAGGACACCCTGGAGCAAGAGTTACACCCAACATGGGTGCTAGAAACTGAACTCAGATCCTCTGGAAGAGCAGCAAGTGTGCTTAACCACTGAGCACCACACACACACACACACACACACACACACACACACACACGCATACACTGATGCTTTCTCGGTTGTGAAAGTTCCAAGCATAAGGAACAGAGGGCCTGGCACGGGAAAGTTAGCTGACTATGATCATGAATGAGATGAGCCCTCACGCCTCTCCGAGGTGCCCCACCCAAATTACGACAGTAGGTCAACCTGTCACAGGGATGCTGAGAGGACCTAACAGAAAAGCACACCTGAAGGTGTGCAAAAAGCCATGACCTCTCCAGAGGGTCTTGGTTAGCTCAGACCCTAGAAAGCAAACTTCCTGCAGCCGCTCCTTCTCACCCATACACGGGCTTCACCTATGGCACGGCACGTAGCACAGAAGCTCGATCTGGCTGTCACCAGAGCAAACATGAAAAAAAGTGAGGTCACGCCTCTAATTTCCACATGCACACCTGACGCTGTTTATTTGGAAATTAAGAAATTGATGTTTAGGACTGGAGAGACAGCTCAGCAGTTAAAAGAGCTCGCTGCTCTTCCAGAGAACCTGAGTTGGTTCCCAGCACCCTCATCACCCAGCTCACAACTGTCCATAACTCCAGCTCCAGGGCATCTGACATCCTCTTCTGGACCCGATAGGCAGACATCCACAGAGACACACATACGTGCACTTACACTGATACAGAGAGACACATGCACACACACACACACACACACACACACGGTGGGGGGGGGAGATGGGCTAGGGAGATACACAGTGGGCAAAGGCACTTGCTGCCAAGCTTGACAACCTCAGCTCAATCGCTGGGCCCCAGACGGTAGAAGAAAACCGACTCCCAAAAGTTGTCATCTGACGCCTCATGATGTGTCGCTCCATACAAGCACTTGCACACATGCACCCGCATACATGCATGTGTGCATACACACAAACAATAGGTGGCAGGAGAGGTGGCTCATTGATTAAGAGCACTTGTTGTTCTTGCAGAGGGCCACATCTACCCTAGTTGTGCAGAGTGGGTCACAACTACCTAGAACTCCAGTTCCTCCAAGGACACTGTGCATGCATGGTACATATATAAACATATATTCAGGCAAAAACCTCATATATATATATATGTGTTTATATATATAAACATAATTAAAATTCAAAAAGAATTTTAAAGGAAACTGGATTGAAAATCTGGAACAGAAGCCCTCTCTGACGGCTTGGTTTACTACACACAACCGACAAGGGGAGGCACTTTCATTGGGTGCTGGTTAGACACACCAACTATCTTCGTGACAATTGCATTCAGAGCGCAACATGTAAAGCTCCCTTGCCAGGTGAGCAGAAAGAAACAGGTCAGGGTCTTGAGAGAGAGAGAGAGAGAGAGAGAGATATCAGGGATATTTACCAATTTGGAAAGGTTCATGTCTCTTAGTCCTCTCATGACCGTACTTAATTCGCTGTCCTCTGGCCGGGCTCTTTTCTGAGACCCAAGGGTCCTCAGCACAGACAGGATATTTCTCAGTCCAAAGTCATAGTGGACCTAGGATGGGGAAAGGGAGAACAAGGAAACTTCAGTGGGAACTTCCAAGTGCAGGCTCACCCTGTACAGACATTCTGCGGGCACTGCGGAGCCGCCATGCTGCCAAGTGTTGGGAGCGCAATTCTTCTCCCTCTACTTAGAGTAAAAAAGGAATCGGTTCATCGGAGAAAGCAAGGTCACAGGGCAGGATTCTAACCTACGTCTCTTTTCAGAGTAAGACAGCTAGATGCAGTCTGAGAGACAAACAATAGATTTCAAATGCCTAGCCTCTTGCTGAGGACCCAAGTTCAGTTCCCGGGACCCACAGCTGGCATCTTCCAAACACTTGCAGCTCTAGCTCAGAAGGATCTGCTGCCCTCTTCTGGTCTCTGTGGGTACCAACACTTACATGCACATACCCACACACACATACACATAGGTTCAAACAAAAACTTAAATTCCTTACTGACGAAAACAATAAATATGCTGTTACCTGCTTAGTAAGTTGCTCTTCGCAGAGTTTATAGAGAACATAAAACTTCTGCGCCAAGATAACGTTTTCAAGAAAACCACAGCTTGCAAGTTTAACTCGCATAATGATCTGCAGATGGACACAGTGAGGCGTTTTACTTTACTGGGAGAAAGAGCAAACCACATAGATTATCCACGTAAGCCCTGACGCATACCTGCCTGTCGGGAACCATCATTGCAACTGTTCTGAACTGGATTTTTAGGTTTTCTGGCAGCTCCTGGCGCCCAGCATATCCAGGGTTCTAAGAGTTAAAATAGATTTAACTTTCAATTATTGGTTCAATTTTTATTTCTTGGATATAAATACATTTCAGGCCCCTAATTCAGATTTTAAGGCAGTGCACAGGAATATTAAATATATGGAATAGTCTCACTTTCTCAAAAATGTGGACTGGACCATCCATATTTAATAGCATTTCATATCATACCTTTTTTAATATATCCATTTTTCAATTCGTTATTAAAGCTATACACAGTTTTTCAAAAAAAAATCAAGCATCTGTGTGTGTCTGCTAGTTTAAAATATAGAAGAGGGAAAAACAGAGCTGAAGACATAGACCTGAGCAATTATGATCTAAAGTATGATATTAGAAGAGAGGGGCTGGAGGGGTGACTGGGCAGTTAAGGGCACCGGCCGCTCTTGGAAACCCAGGTCCAGCTCCCATCACCCACGTGGTAGCTCACAACCATCTGTAATGGTACCAGTTACGGTGAGAGGCACTGTTTCAAGAGGTGATTAACACAGAAAGACTCCACAGGCCCATACACATGGGAGCATGTGCAAGCACACACAGCGTGTACCTGCACACATAGCACACTCACAGCTAACTTCTCTTACAGGCTCAACCACAAGACCTTTACCCAGAGGCTCTTGCATCTCTAGGGTGCGACAAGGGGCATGTGTGGGCTGTCAGCCTCACTTCCTTCTCCTGCCTGTATAACAACACCCACCCGCTAGGCCCCCTTGAAGGTGGATGCAGTTGACCCCATGAACCTGTGCGTGTCCCTCCTGGGTGGAAACTCTAGGCCAAAGCATGGTTATTCATTTTCTCTTTGCCGTCCCACAGTGACGGAGACAGTGACCCTCTGATGGGCCGAATACACATAGCCGAGCCCACCCCAGTCAACCCATACAGACAGGAGCCACTGAGGAGGAAAGTTATCTTCGTGGTTTTAAGAAACACACATCTGTAAGAGCTGCTCTTGTAGAACGCTGGGGTTCAGTTCCCAGCACCCACATCAGACATCTCATGACTACCTGCAGACTTCAGCTCCAGGGTATCTGACGCCCTCTTCTGGCCTCCGTAGGTTCTACACTCACATGCACACACCCACACATCGGCACACATAATTAATTTGAAATAAGCCTTTTTTAAAAAAACGAGAGTGAGTCCATGACTCTTGGTTAATTTATCCTGTAATACACAGGCTAATCTATTTATATCTGCAACAATTAACAATTTTCCCACGTTCTCACCATTGTCAGGAAGATTCCAAATTCCGGATTCAAATCCACACAATCACCATCTGAGAAAATGAACTGCTTTTTCCTCTCTTTCCTCGCCGTCAAAACTATGTAAATTTGTTGGGCCGCCACAGATAAGACAGGCAATTCAATTCTGTTAAACTCATCAAAACAGCCCCAGGAACCCGACTGCGCAAGACCTGGCAGGAGAAATGGTTGATTTGCAAAGTTTCCCTGTGCGAGGCACCTTCTTGAGAGCCATTGGGTCTGCCAAGGGCTCCCCCGAAATTATGCCTAAACACAATGTATGTGCCGCTTCACATTGGGCTGTTTAGGAAGGCGCGTTTCATCCTTGCGACGGGAGATGTTTAATTATTTCCATACCGTCACCAAACACAGGGAACTCAGTGCCGTGCCCAAGGGAAAGTGTGACAGCGATGTTGTAGGCAGGGGTCCTAGGAGGTGGTAAATCAGACCCTGCCTGTGAGGACCACGGCCTTCAATTAGGATGGAGAGGAATGGTTCTCCAGGCTCTGGGGGAAACGGCAGAATATGGGATGCCTCTCAGCAGGTCTGATCTCTCCGTGTTCTTTTATTACAGAGCGAGAGGAATGTCAGGTTGCTGGATGAGATGGCCAGAGGGGTTTTATGTATTTCTTACAAAGCCAAGCACAAAAGCAGGCCCGGAGACCGTGAGCACTGTTCCTTCCCGACTCTCTAAGGACGGTCGCCTTTATCACCAGCAGCTGTACGAAATGCTTTATTTCTTCCGCCATTTGCCCAGCCTTCTGCTCTCGCCCTTGGGGACGCCCATTCTAAGGATGCTGGGATGTTTAGACCCCTAACGTTTTTCTGTCAAACCTCCCATGTCCTCATCTTTTTGTAACTCAAGACAGAGTAAATTGTGGCTTCGTTCTCCTTGTGTCTCAATTGTTATTTTTTTCCCTAACAGCCTGGTTTCTTCAGTCGTCTAAAGAGTATAAAGATCTCAATTGTCTCCAAAGCTATTAATTTCACTGAGTTTATTGAGTTTTCTTCTGCTTCCTCTTTAATTCAGCTTAGCAGTCTTTATGCACTCTCTCCTCTGTGTGTGTGTGTGTGTGTGTGTGTGTGTGTGTTTTCTTCTTTGAGATGAGGTCTCCTGCAGCCCAGATTGGCCTTGAACTCCTGACCCTCCTACCTGTGGAGCGCTGGGATTATTTATACACAACCACAGGCTGCTCATCTGGTAGGTACTGAGGATGGAGCTCAGGGCTTCATGTGCACTAGGCAACGCCTCTATCATCTCAAGCCTGGAGACTCCTTATCATCCTGGACACCCCTCTAGGCTCTTCTGGTCCTGTTGAGCCAATGGTTTTGACTACACTATTGTCTTAACGCAGAAGCAAACTCCTGTTTGAGACGCCTGCCTCTGGTGCCTTGGAGGAAGGGATGGGAGATGCAGGACAGCTCCCCCAACCCTTGCAGGGGCCCCATCCGGGATGTCCTCTGGCAGGACTCCTATTTCAGAGAGCTGAGTTACACCAAGTCGGACTGAGCGCTGACACCAATGTGTCCTTGGAGGTGTTTTTCCTCAGTGTTAGCAGAAATCACCTCTTTGTAACTGTGCTTTTAAAAAAAAAACAACAAAAACCTTCCATTTCAGTGGGCTTTAGCCCAGCAATGAGAAGTTGCATGTACCAATCTGCTAGGAAGACTGGCTCTCCTCCACTACTGTGTGACTGTTAGAAATTGATTCTGTCTTCAGATTCCAATACACATTCAGTGTACGCAACATAACACGATCAGCAGCATCGAGCCACGCTGAATTTATGCTAACCCGTCACTTTTAATCCAGAGTGCCGTACGATATAAAGCCTAATGATGACAGTGTCATTTAACATTTATATCAAAAACACCAAAGGGCAATGAAAAATGAACTCACCAAAACTGAGATACTTACCTTTGAAAATCCTTCCCAGGCCCCGGAAGTCCATCTGATCCGAGCAGTTGAACACAACCACGTACTTCCCCAGACACCTGCCCATGTCTTTGGTGGTTTCCGTTTTGCCTGTCCCTGCGGGTCCTGCTGGAGCCCCGCCCATGTTCATTCCCAACGCCTGAGCCAGCGTGATGTAGCACCTGAAACCCAGGGAAGAACCTGTCCGGCACAGAGCTTGGACGGCCCACGCGAAGCAGGCAACCAGACAGAGCGGGATGGGAGAAAGCAAGAGGAAGCTGAACACACGGAACGGTCCCGCTGTAATTTTACCTGGAAGCGGACTCCATCGACACGCAGCAGTAAATCCGCAGACACGTACTGCGTGGTGCTTTCTGCGTGTGGCCAACTGAACTGAGGGTGCGGGGGTGTGAAGGTGGAAAAGATTCGCACCCTACCGGGCGACTGCACCCATCACTGACTGAGACAGACTCGGCCAAGAAACTTTAAATTCAGTTTCCACATCTGAGAAACCGAGAGACTGGCAGACTATGGCGCTGCACTCCTGCAAGACTCAGAAGGCAGAGGCAGGGGCATCGCTGCCAGTTTAAGACCAGTCCAGGACACACAGCGAATCCCATGCCAGCCAGGACTACATCATGAGATTTTTATCTCAACAAAAACAAAACAGGCAGAGTGTGATAATTTCCTTTCTTTAATCTTAGCACCCTGGAAGCAGAGGCAGGGGGATCGCAGTGAGTTCCAGGTCATTCAAGTCTACATAAGTGTCAGGTCAGTCGTGGTAAACAGCGAGGCCCTGTCTCAAAAATAAATAAATAAAAGAAAAAAAGAACAAAATCCAACAAAAACTGCAAACCCAGCAGACTACACTGAACGCTACCAAAGGTGCTTTCCTTTTTTTGCAATGTTATTAACTTCCTTTATGGCTTCAGGGCATTTTTCCCCTCTCACAACCTCTCAAAATCATTATTAAATTACTCAAAGCAAACATTCAATCCTGATTTTATTCTTTCGTCTGTTTCTACTTCATAAAACATTAATGCATGTGTCCGTGTAAGCCACAATGAGGGTTATTTCAATGTTAGGCTGCATCTGATGGCCCAGCACAGACCCAAGATGGCGGCAACATGGGTTTATGAATATTTCAGTGTGGATTTCTTTTCAATGTAGTTTAAGCATGCCATTGAATTACCAAGTATAGCCGCGAGCGCCGGGGTTCCTACCTGTCTGTTAACGGGGTGATCACGAGGCGGTCCGTGCAGCCGAGAAACTCGTTCTGGTAGATGAAATCCACATCTGTGATGGACACCACGGTCTGTTCCAAGTCTTCCTTGAAATAAAACCTGCTCTGCTTCAGCCACTCGAAGTCGGTGACTGACTTGATGTGCATTTTCACCTGGAAAACCCAAAGCACGAACAGTGGCAAACGGACTGCAGTGGCCTGGAAGCTCAGCACGGGGGTGGTTGTGAGCCACGCGCGAGTAAGCCGGCAAGTCTCCAGGTAACAGGATGTATTGCCAGCCTTCTTGTGCCGGCACCACACTGGGTGAGCACAGGGAGATACGGGGTCTGCTTTCTGGAGCTTACCACAACACGGAAGAGTGGGGCAAAGCCAAGAAATTTCAATGAACTACAAAGCATACTGCTAAAGAAAGTCAAGGGAGATGGTCCGGCAGTTAAGAGCACTCGCTCCTCTTTGCCCAGATTCAGTTCCCAGCACCAGCACAGCGGCTCCAGTTCCGGGGTTCTGACTCCCTCTTCTGGCCGACATGGGCACTGCATGCACACGGTGCTCGCCTGCACGTGATGTGATGGACTAGCTTCCTGCTCCTGCCACCATGCTGGGCCCTCGCTGTCTTCACAGACTCTAACCATGAGCCGAAATCAACCCTGCCACCCTCAGGCCACACTTAGCCATGGTATTTTATCACAGCCACAGAGCAGCAAGCAGCACAGAGCTAAGCAGAGGCACAGCAGGTGGTCCTGTCTTCCGCTTCCCGGCTGTGGACTCATGTGACCAGCTACCTCGAGCTGTTCCCTCCCTAGAGATGCTTTCCTGTCAAGTTCCACTGGATGCTAAGGACTAGACAACGGCCATCCACATTCACCAAGGCTTGCTCCCACTCAACCTGAAGTTCTCCTTTCTCAGCTGCCCTGACTAAACTGTGTCATGCACTTGGGCATTTGTTTAGGAGAGCAATTAATTCCTAACAAACTAATTGGTTCCAGACTTTTGAAACTAGTACCTGTAAAAAGCAACTTTATATCCTCCATCACCACTCGTGTGTCCTGTCGCCTGTATCCTGTCTTTCCTTGGCTAATCATACTTTTCCTCGGACTCTTCTCAGTGTTATCCTGTACTAAAAGTTAACTGTTGCTCTGGTTTCAATTATGACAGTGTCTTGTTGTGTGTGTGTGTGTGTGTGTGTGTGTGTGTGTGTTAGATAAATCCATTAAAAAAAAACGTAATTGGGGCGCTGGAGAGACGACTCAGAGGTTAAAAGCACTGGCTGCTCTTCCAGAGGTCCTGAGTTCAATTCCCAGCAACCACACGGTGGCTCACAACCATCTATAATGAGATCTGGTGCCCTCTTCTGGCCAGCAGGCATACATGCAGGCAGAACATCGGATACATAATAAATAAATAAATAAATCTTTTAAAAAAATAAAACATAATTGACAGTCAAAAATTAAGCCCTGAGTGAATCTCCATGGCTTCGGAATGGTCTTTCTACCTCTACAGAAAGAAGCACAGGTAAAGGCACTGCGTTTGGCACTGGGCAATATTTCTTTGAGTGGTTTCCTTAACTGAGCTGTGTGATTTTTTTGTTTGTGACTTTAGGTCTGCATGGTGGTACACGCCTTTCATCCCAGCACTCAGGAGGCTGAGTCAGAGGGATGTGTGAGTTTGAAGCCAGCCTGGTCTACAGAGCGAGTCCCAGGCATCTAAGGAAACACAGCGAGACCCTATCTCAAAAACATGTGTGCGTTCATTTCAACAAAGTGGGTTTTTTTCCCAAAATATTTATTTATTATGTATGCAATATTCTGTCTGTGTATATGCCTGCAGGCCAGAAGAGGGCACCAGACCCCTTTACAGATGGTTGTGAGCCACCATGTGGTTGCTGGGAATTGAACTCAAGACCTTTGGAAGAGCAGGCAATGCTCTTAACCTCTGAGCCATCTCTCCAGACCCTCAACAAAGTGTTTAAAAAAAAAAAAAACAACAGAAAAAGGAACAAAACAAAAAAAATCAGAAACCAAATTTTTCTGAAGAATAATAAATGAAAACACACGCACGTTGTTTGAAGCCGCCAGGGCACCTACTCAGCGAAGACATTTATGAAAGGGACACGCGAGGAACTAGAGCGCACGCCAGTTCATCATTCCGGATAACATCCAAGCGCTCACTGCTAGCTACTAGACTAAATCACTTTGACAAGGCAGGGGCGGGTGGGCGGGGATACTTTACCAAGTCATCAAAAATGTCTCTCTGGTGTACGTGGATGGTGATCAAAGTCTCAAACTTCACTCTGTCAAACTTGCTCAGGTCGTGCGTCGTCTGACTGATGAGAGTATTCAGAATATCCAGAAATTTCTGGTTGGTAATTTGCATGATTTTCCTGTCGTCCTTCGCGTTGTTTAAAGCCTCCTCTGAGTCATGCGTCCACAGCATCTGAACGCCCAGAAGCCCAACCTGCAGGCGCACGGGGACAGCGTGTGTGCAGCTTGTTCCGGCTGCCGCTATTCGCATGCAGCAAACGGGATTGGTTGTTTTAAGCATTAAGTAAAAATTCTATTTGTGTGTGTGTGCGCATGCATGCACACACACACACACATACATAAAACATTCTAGGAGGAAATGGGATAAAATATAGCCATCATTTCCAAGTGGCATAAAAATAAGTAATTTTTATCCCTATTTTGTAGTTTTCAAATTTTCCCAGATTTTCATAGCAATGTTCCACTGTGTTCATAATCTTTTAAAGTAGGTTCTAAGAGACAGCAGAGACGGGGTATTTGGCAATTTTTTTAAATTAACTTGATAGCAGGCAGATTTCATCTACTTGGGAAAAAAATGCTTTAAAGGAATAACGCTGGAAGGAACCCGGGAAGGCACGCAGCGTTTCCATTACGTGCAATTCCTCCACGCTCTGAACTGCGGCTCACGCTCCTCCGAATGCTAATTCCCAGCCCGAGAGAGCCTCGAGAATACAGAGTGGCCCGTGCTTCCCAAGGAGAGAAAATGTCACCTTAACCCTAAGAAGCCCATTTTTTTCCAGCTTACCAAGGAAAACTTGCCTTTAATCTTTATCAAGAGCATTAAATATCACCAAGGCAACTGAAAAACAGAGCTGCAGCACTCAAATCAGCTCTGCGGTGGAGGCTGCTCCTTGCCTGTGCGTATACAGGTTGAATAATTAATGTCCAATCATCTCTAGCTGTCTCCAAAGGGTGCTCATTAATTCAGGAACTAATTGGAGTTCAGCTGGGGCAGGAAACAGAGTTAGGACAGAACTCTGTTGTTTATTTTTCCCTTTGGGAATCTCTTCTAGCTTGTGCTACTTAAGAAGAGACTGGAAACCACTTCTCATTTGTCCTGGGTGAAATCTTAACGGGAGTGACAGTTCTTTATTCCCTACACTGGGGTTTACCGGTACTTGGCACATCACGGGGAGCTTATAAGAGACATAGGCCAGAACCGTCGCCAAGAACACCCATTCCCTCCCTGACAAGGCGGGATGCATGCCAGGAAAATGTGTGGTCAGTTCCCCTAGGCGTTCCATATCCATATCCCTATCCTCTACCATCCTTAAGGCTGCGACCGTTGTGGAATAATCTTTTGGTGCGCTGTGAAGACAGGTCACTCTGGTTGGTTCAATAAAAGGCTGAATGGCCAACAGCGAGGCAGGATTTGAGGGGCAGAGAGGAGGCTGGGAAGAATGGGGGAGTCGTGAGTAGACACAGGAATGCAGAGCAGGCAGCATGGGCTTTACAAAGACTAAAAGATATGGGTTAATTTAAGTTATAAGAGCTAGTTAGAAACAAGCCCAAGCTATCAGCCCAGCTCTCATAATTAATAAGAAGTCTCTGTGTCATTACTGGGGAGCCAGTGGTCCTGACGAAAAAGTCCAATTACATCCTTCACATTGTGCTGATCCCCAATCATACAATTATTTTTTTCTTGTTAATTCACAATTGTAATTTTGCTTCTGTCAGGAATCTCAATGTAAATGTCTGATACGCAACTCCCCCAAAGGGGTTGCAACCCACAGTTTGAGAACCACTGATCTATAAGATGAAATTTTCCATTTGCTGTTTGAGTCTTGGCATCTGTCCTTAAGAATGAGAGGCTGGGTGAGATGACACACGCCTTTAACCCCAGCACTCAGGAGGCAGAGGCAGGCGGATCTCTGTGAGTTCCAGGTCAGCCTGGTCTACAGAGCGAGTTCCGGGACAGTCAAAGCTACACAGAGAAACCCTGTTGGGGGGATAGGGGGCGTCATGGTACAGAACGGGGTAAACTTGAGGTGGAACCACAGCAGCCCCCACCCATCAGGCTCAGCACAGCCCCCCTTGATTTCCACATCTTCTCATCATTAGTGTGGCCCTCACCTGTGCCGGGAAGTGGTGGAGGAAAGGCAGCAGCAGAAATCCCGAATCGCTGATTTGATAGAAGGCAGACCGGATTATATTATGCAATGACGACATCTGGACTTTTAACAAGTCCAGAAGCCAAATCTCTACGGGACCTTTGGCCATAACTGGAGTATCCAGCTAAAAAGAAATAATAAATATGTAACAAATATTCATATGGTATTTTTATAAACTGTCACACTTGATAAATCCTAGTACTGCAACACAGAATAAACTCTCCTATAGTTCACATCAAATACTTATTGGTTAACTTTGCGTGAGCACTGCGTGCCTGTGTGTGCATATGTGGGTTTAAATGAATGCACCCATGCATGTAGAGTGGCCCCAGCTTTAGATTTTTGTGTTTTATTTCTATTTCTCTCTCACCCATGTGCAGGTGTGTGTACGCAAACACGCGTGCGCATACACGCACACGCACGCACTACAGGCATGTGGGCGCCCAAGGAGGCCAGAAGAGGGTGTTGGGTCTTCTGGAACTGGAGTTATAGGCGGTTATAATCCACCTGATATGGGTGCTGGGTACCCAGCTCAGACGCTCTGAAGGACAGCCAACACTCAACCACTGAGCCATCTCTCCAGCTCTCTGGGCAAATATTGAAAGCATGGGGGGAAGAAATTAAAAATATAACTAGAAGAGACCATGCAGATCACGTAGTCTAAAGGCTGTTATTGCTGATAAAGCTAGTCTCAGAGAAGTTAACTGACTCACCCATACTAATTTATAATAAAACCAGAGCTATAGAATTAGAGCCCAAGGTTACCCGCCCTAGTCCTCCATATCTGTTCTTCTGCATAAGCCAATTGCATTCTCCTCAACCTACATGGTCAAGGAAATCCTAGCAACAACTTTTTTTTTTAAAAGAAATAAATTACCATGATTTTTTCTCCTTCTCTTGATATAACAGCCATCATTCGATCGTAGTCTTTGGAATGAAATGTCACCTCGTTTATGTTGTCAGACACTGCAGGGAGATGCGGCTGAAAGAGACATGAGGCAGAGCCAAAACATCACACATGGGGCCAAACACATAAGCGACTGAGATGCCTCTTAAAGCCTTAGCAGAGGCTGGAGGGGCAGCTCAACAGCTAAGAGCATTTCCTGTCATTCCACAGGACTCAAGACCAGTTCCCAGCATCCATACTGGGCAGCTCTCAACTGCCTGTAACTCCAGCTCCAGGGGCTCTGGCGCCCTCCTCTGAGCTCCGTAGCTACTGCACCCATATGTACATATACATACACAAAATTATAAACAAGATCATTTTTAAAGCATAAAACCTTGGCTTTTTTTGTCTTCACGAAACACAAGAGAATCTATTTTCTTAGCTCAAAAATGAAAATAAAATGGTAATTTAAAAAAAACAGCAATAGAGACCACCACAACGCTTGATTAACTTAAAGGCGCATGGTTTGCTGAAAACAGTTAGGTTAGCTTAGAACTCACTATGTAGTCCAGCCTGGATCCTGAACTCTGCTCCTCTTGCCTCAGCCTCCCGAGTTCTGGGTAAAGGTGTATACCACGACAACCAATGGTGGCCCACTTCTTAAAATCCTATGACATTGTCCCCAAGTCCAGCAAATGTCGCTTCTTAGACTCCAGACCGGCTCAGTGAGCATCCCTTTGTGCTCTCCAGATGGAGACTGAACCATACCATCCCAGCCTGCTTCCCTGCCAGGCACAGGTCCCTCCCTCTCACTTTCTCTCTCGACTGTCTTCTCTTTTCACAAATCTTACAGTTAAGGAAACTGAGACCTTGGTGGTTAGTGAACGGGGAGTGTGTGAGGCCAATTGGCTCTAAGACCATACAATACAGGGTGTTTTATCATCATACTTTGTATGTGTGTGCAGATGTGTATTCATGTGTATTCATGTGTGCTGTAGCGGGTGCTCAGAACATTACATGCCATCCTCAGGTACTAACTTTCCTTGTATGGTGAAACAGGTCCTGGAATTCACTGAGTCAGCTAGGCTAGCTAGCCAGCGAACCCTAGGCATCTGCCCATTTCTGCCTCCACGGTGCTGGTATTAGAAGAATACACCATTGTTCCCAGAACTTTCTTTTAACATAGGTTCTGGGAATTGAACTTGGGTCCTCATGTCTTTACGGCAAGCCACTTCACCAGCTGAACCATCCTCCCAGCTGAACCATCCTCCCAGCTGTACCATCCTCCCAGCTGTACCATCCTCCCAGCTGTACCATCCTCCCAGCTGTACCATCCTCCCAGCTGTACCATCCTCCCAGCTGTACCATCCTCCCAGCTGTACCATCCTCCCAGCTGAACCATCCTCCCAGCTGTACCATCCTCCCAGCTGAACCATCCTCCCAGCTGTACCATCCTCCCAGCTGAACCATCCTCCCAGCTGTACCATCGGGATTTTTGGTTCTCATCCTTCTTGCCTTGCACTGTCAGGACACCAACTCTATCTCTGTTCCTGATTACAAATCCCATGGACAAAGCGGCTTAACCCCAGGATGTTTGGGTCATACCTGTATGGTGTGGGAGTCACTGGCCTGTCCGAGGATTTCCAGCAGAACCGGGTCAGAGACAAAGAAGAATCTCGGAAACAGCAATCGCTTCTTCTCCAAATACCTTCAAACAGTCAAGAGCATCTTACCGAATGATTCCTTTGGTTTGAATTTATTTACTTTTATTTCCTGTGCATTGGTGTTTTGCCTGTATGTATGTGAGGGTGTCAGATCCTACCTGGAACTGGAGTTATAGACAGTTGTGACCTGACAAGTGAGTGCTGGGAATTGGACCTGGGTCCTCTGGAAGAGCAGCCAATGCTCTTAACCACTGAGCCGTCTCTACAGCTCCCCTTTGTTTGTTTGTTGTGGCCAATCAGAGAAAAGCAAACACCAACAGACATTTCCCATAGGCCTCTGGGATATGTGGTGAGAACCAGAGTCTAGCAGGGAAGGCGCTTGGGGGGAACAGAGGATTTCAAAACAATAGAGGGAAGGAGCAAGGCCACCTCTATCATCTGTCACAGTCTTTTCTCTAGTTGGGAGCCCTCCCATGAACCTTTGTTAGAGTACTGGGGGCATTCATAGCTTAAATTTGGGATTTATTGTCTCCAACCCAGGACATTCTGAGGATGAAACGGAGGCCACCTATCCGTGAGGCTAGAGCAGAGGGCAAACCTGGCCAAACCAGGATATGTCATAACCATACTCTAAACAGAAACCGAGAATGAACTCTGCTTTAATTTTTAAAGCTTCCAGAAGTGTCTTTGGGGGGAAAAAGCACCCATACACTTGTTGGGCACACCTCTACTCCAAGCCCAAAGTGGGTTCAATCTAATCCCCTAAAAGAGAAGTCTACATACCCTGGAATCTGTAAACTAGACTTTATTTCAAAGAGGGTCTCTGAGGGTATATTGAATTTAAACATCTTTCCTTAAAAGAGAATTGCTTGTGTTTCAATGTATGTCCCCTGATCCCGAGAAACAACGTCCTATACCCAGTACACTCGATAACAAGTGCCCTCAGAAGAGAAACAGAAGAAATGAAGGCCACTGAAGACACAGGCATCAGGGTTGTAACACCAGCCTCAGAAGCCCCAGGGCTACTACAGCTCCATCACAAGCTCCCGGGAGGCTGACACCTTGATTCCACACCTCTGGCTGACAGACCTGGGACTGAACTAACTAACGTCTGGTGCTTCAAGCCATCAGTGAGTGGTGACTGGCACAACCGTCCTGGGAAGCTAACGTGATGCCTTCGCCCACCCCTTCCACATTGTCCTTACTGGAAATCGAAGGTAGGGGAATTTAGGTTCCTGTTTCCCGTTGAGCCATCCCTAGAAAAACCTGAAATGCAGACAGAACTAGCGGCTTGGGAGGAAGCACGCTGTCTCACCCGGTGAGGGACTTCTGACAGACCTCCAACTGCTCGTGTAAGTGGGGCAAAAGCTGCCCCATGGTCTCATCCCCGACGCAGCAGCTGATCACGTTGGGGTTCTCGTGAGCTCGCTGCATTATTTTGACCCACGACTTGTCAATATTCTGGAAACGTTTGGCTTCCTAAAAGCAAATCCGTAGTTGGGTAAAGATTAGCATCTAGATAATTGAAAAGAGCAAGCGCTTCACTTCCTAATTCCTTCCAGTCCTTCAAACCCAGCCTGTGTTCATCTCGGGCTACATCATTGAGACAAAAAGGAAAAAAAATTTTTTCTTTTCTTTTCTTGGTCTGAATTCGTTCTGAAGAACGAGACCCAAACCTGCAAAGCCGCTTATTAAAATGCCGCCTGATCACGACGGGGTTTATCACTTATTTGTTTCCTTGCATTTAATATAGTTTTGAAGTGCCACATGATTAACTCGCAGAGCTATCAACTTAAAGTTCAAATCCAGTCTTTCGGCACCCCAGGTGTTTTGGTTTGATGAGCAGACTGAAGTGGCAGCGGAGATAATTTGATCTCAGAGTCCTTGGAATAATCACAGCCCCACAGTACCTCAGGGAGAAGGGAAGGAGGAGGGACCACGGGAACCACAAAACAAAGCTTCATTTGCATACTTGCAAATAAATATTTCCTTGGTCCTGTGGATGATATTAAGTTTTTCGTCCAGTTGCAAAAATGCCTCTGGAAACTGGCATAATTTCGTCTCTTTTTAAAATGCTATTTCCTAATTTAAAAAAACAACAGACTTTAACATTAGGTTTCTACAACAAAATTGTGTTGCAAAGAGAAATGAGCTGTTTCCATGCTTTTTATCCTGGATTTATAATCTGCATAGATCCTGTCTATTTAGGATGAGGAGGCTGAATTGTAAAAGAGGGAAAGTTACCTTAAGAGTAAACTCTTCGTTACAGACAGCCTACAGCTGGCTTTGAGCTCACCATACATCCAAGGATGACCTGGATTTCCCGTCCTCCTGCCTTCACCTCCTCCATGCTGGGACTGCAGCTATGCAGCAGCATGCATGGTTGATGTGCTCCTGGGGATTGAACCCAGAGCCTCACGAGTGCTTGGCAAACACTGCGCCAGCAGAACCACCACCCCAGTCTGTTTAGAGGCTTCGCACGGAGGCGCCTCACCACGCATTTCCAAACCGGGTCTTCCTTCACACTGTTGACTCCTGGCCTGCTGGTCGTGGGTTTACTAATAGCTAATCTGTACTTAACTAAACATAGATTAATTTTAATGCTACTATTCTCAGAGATGAAACAACAGCTTGGTGGTAGTCTATTTGAATGCACATTAACCTCCTCACTCTCAAGACTCCACCATTGGAAACTACGCATTTTCTTCTTTCTACTAGTGTGCTAGAAATCGGTGCCCTGTGTTGTCTGTGTTCCGGCAAAAATTTAAATTATTTTTAACTTTAATTATGCGTACGCAGGGGAATGTTGCCCATGAGCGCCTACGGAAGCGAGAAGAGGACATGGAGTCCCCTGGAGCTGGAGTGACAGGCAGTTGTTAGCCACCTAACGGGGGTGCTAAGAATAGAATTCAGGTCTTTTGCAAGAGCAGTGTGTTCTCTTCACAGCGGAGCCGGCTCTCAGACCTAAAACTTTACTTCTAGACCACGGTCTGGGCCATAGTTTGCCTGCCCCTGACCGCACGAGCCAGAGAGGTGGTCAGTGTGTAAAGATGCCCGATGCCAAGCTGGGTGATGTGGGCTCAGTCTTCGGGGCCCGCATGGTGGAAGCAGAGAATCGACTCACGCGGCTCATCTCCACATGTGTAGCATGTCGTCATGTATACACATACACGCATTTGTATGTACACACAAAGTAAATGAAATGTCAAAAAAATTAAGACTTGACCAAATATATCTTTGGGAAGATTTTCATAGATGACCCCAAACGTTTTTTGCATAGCAATAGGGATTGGACATAGGTTTCCATGAGCGCTCGGCAAGCACCGTCCCCACTGAGCTACAGCCCCGGCTGTCTTTTTCATTTTCGTTCTGGGAAGGGTCTTACACAGTAGCTCAGGAAGGGAAGGCCTTCATCTTACAATTCCCCTGCCTCACACTCCCGAGCAGTTGCGTTCACAGGCCTGCACCACTTGGCCCAGCTCACAAACAATCCTATAAATAACTGCAAGAGCTGTGCTTACCTGTGGCAGCTGCTTGGCAATGTCCCCGCCCACAAAGACGGCTTCCAGGTAGACCCACAGGTTCTGCACCACCAGCCACTCTTCGATGATGTCTGAGGACGTGGACAATTTAAACACCCAGTTCTGGATATTCTTTTTGAACGGAGCATTATATCTAAAAAGGGAGAATGTGAAACATGTTTCAGTTTGCTGGGAGGAAGGTCTGTCGCTAGTGCTGGGGTAGGATTTGCAGACAAACTTGGGGCTTCACAGGTATCCGGAGGAGGGCCTCCCGGAGTAAAGAATTTCTCGAATAACCATGTACTCCCTTGCAGGACCCTGGGCACTGCTGGACACTGATTCCCAGAGAACTGTGAAAACATTGAGCTGTGTGGTGTCCTAAGCCTGTTTTAGCAGGTCATGTGCACGTAAGTATAAGACTCAGGGATTCACATGCAGTGCTCTTCGCTAGCTTCCCTGGGCACCCGCATCCATGTGACTCACACAATCACACACAGGCACACATATATTACAGAAACAAAAACCTACTGCAATTAGCTAGGAGCCCGGAGGCTACAAATGCTCAACCAAAGACCCAAAGCCCTTGGCTGCTGTCATTCTTCAGGTTACCCTACAACCCTGTTTGCAAGAGGCTGTCGGCCACGAAAGTCAGGATGGCCAGTCTGCGGTGGCCCATGGGAACTGTCGGCCTTGAAATCTAAGAGCCAGTGATTATGTCACAGCCATCTTTGCTACTCAGTCTGAATCAGTTTGCTCCTCAGCTGAGTACTCAGATGCAAACAGCGGGTCTTCACCTCGACACATCCAAGCCACAATTCCATGACCCAGAATCTGTATAGACTACACATACTCAAGCACAGGCTGGGGTCAGAGGTCACGTGGGCTGCCAGTCATTAGCTGGGGATCCCATCTTAGAGAGTGAGAACGGCCGTGTCCCCTGGCCATTGACCTCTGCTGCTGATGGAGCTGTGACGTATGGACGTCAGGGAGAGAACAGCCAAGAATGCCTGGGTCTGGAGAGACGGCTCATGGGTTAAGAGCACTGGCTGCTCTTCTAGAAGACCCGAGTGCAGCGACCAACACCTGCATTGGATGGTTCCCAACCATCTGTAACTCCAGTTCCAGAGGATTCAATACCCTCTTCTGGACTCCTGTACACACGTGGCAGACACACAGACTGATAAACATGCACACATAATTTTTTAAAAAAAGTACAAAACATATTGTGATCAGCTATGAGGGTTGAGGTTGCAAATGCTCTCACTGGGTGACAGTTAGAACAAGGAATGACAAGTCAGAGGAGATAGGAAGAGGCGACCTTGATGGAGGGGCATACTGCTTGTTGAGCTGCCAGCGCTGGGGCTGGGTACCTCTGAAGATAGACAGAGTGGCTACTGGGTACAGACAGGCACAGACGAAAGCTTGGAAGGTTAGGGCACAATCTGACTTATGCCCCAGCTACAAAATTAGGGTTTTAACCTAGCAGTTTACGGTGCTAAAGCCCAAATATAATTCTTACCCATGAATTATGAAATTACCTGTTGCTCAGCAAGGAACCTAAGACCATCAAGCTGTCCTCCATCAAAGTGATGATTTCTCCAGACTCGGTCCCTTTGAGCAGGAGCTCGCCTTTCCCCTTAAATGCAGCAAAACTCAGGTTTTGGTTGGTCCAGTTCTCAATCACCTGCGTCAGCTTGGCTTCAATATCCTTCTCCTTAATGGCAGAGATGCAGATATCCTTCGGAGGAAGAGGGGAGGAGAGTCAGGACATTCTAGACAGCAAATTATGTTTTGTTTTGTTTTGTTTTTGTTTTTTGAGACAGGGTTTCTTTGTAGCTTTGGTGTCCATCCCGGAACTAGCTCTTGTAGACCAGGCTGGCCTCGAACTCCCAGAGATCCGCCTGCCTCTGCTTCCCGAGTGCTGGGGTTAAAGGCGTGCGCCACCTCCACCCGGTGACAGCAAATTATGTGCATCATAAAAATCATAGCACGTGTAGCACAGAAGGGACCAGAGGCCGCCTTTGCTCAGTGAGTTAACTCGCAGCTGAGAAAGCCAAGGTTCCCAAGAAAGCCAGAGAAGGCAGACAAGTGAGAGGGCCCAGCCAGATGACGTCAGCCCAAGCTCCTGGAGCCCACCTGGTGGAAGGAAAGACGACTCCCAGAAGTTGTTCTGTACCTCCTATAGGCTCACACGGCACGCGCAGGGACACACACATACACGGCATGCGCAGGGACACACACATACACGGCATGCGCAGGGACACACACATACACGGCATGCGCAGGGACACACACATACACGGCATGCAGAGGGACACACACATAATAAAAAATGATTTAAAGTATGGGAAAGGAAAATTGCAATGCTGTTTTAAATTGTCAACTAAAAATAGACTTAGTGAAAAACATTGCCTGGAAAAGTTTGGACAAGACATCCTGAGGAATTCACCAAGAACGTAATACTTAAATACCATGAACTTGGTTTGTTTTTTTTAATGTAAGTGCAGCTAAAGACAGGAGGGTGGAGTGACAGGCTCTAAAACGACTGCCTTTCAAAAGATCCTTTATCTTCACATGTGCATCAGTATACACCCCATAAACCCCACCCACCCTCCTTTTCCCTGGTGTACTTTAGAAACCCTGTACACCGCAAGTCTACATGATTAATGTTGTGATCCGAATTCTTCACAGCTGCCTTATTCTATTGCCCACGCACATTCCCACAATTCCCATCTGCCTAGCTCCGCGTCTCTAACATGTTGTCTGTCCCTTGCGCTAGCAAAATTTTCCTATTTTGCCTTCAGCTAATCCTCAACAAACACAACAAACACACTACTTATACAGCTATATTGAAAGAGTAAATAAAAGTTCAAACACTCCTTATTCAAGAAATACAGACGGCAAAACAACACTTAAGACTCAAGAAGTCAAGGCTGGGCATGGTGGCACACGGGAGGAAGAAGTTGGCGGATCTCTGTGAGTTCGAGGCCAACCTGGTCTATACGGTGAGTTCAGTTACATAGTGCGGCCCTAATCTCAGAACACACACACAAATACACAAACACACACAAATACACACACACACAAATACACAACACAAATACACATACACAAATGCACACACACAAATACACACACAAATGCACACACAAATACACATACACAAATACACACACAAATGCACATACATAAATACACACACATACAAATACATACACACAAATACACAGGAATAAAACATCACTGGGGCTAGAGAGACAGCGAAGCAAGTAAAAGCAGGTACTGCTCTTGCAGAGCCTGAGTTCTATCCCCAGCACCCTCATTGTATGGGTCACAACTGCTTATGCCTCCAGCTCCAGGGAATCTGATGTCCTCTCCTATCCTGTGCAATCGTGTGCACATCCCACACACAGACACCCACATACCACATATGTACACATGTTTTAAAAGAAAATAAATCTTAAAACAATTCAAAAATCTGTAGAAGCCATGGAGGGAGAGAAGCAGATACAGGCCCCTCTCCTATGGTGAAGAATTGGCAAAGGAAAAGATAAAAGAACGGTCGTGGCAGGCAGGAAGGGAGGGGGCAGACACCAGGATGCAGAGGGACAGGAGAAAGGAGCCCTAGTGTCACACAGCCGAGCAAGGGACCATTCTTCACAATGGCGCCGTGTATTTAATGAAGAACCAGCAGAGGGGGACTCGAAAACCGCAGAGGAAATGATAAAGAGATAGAACTGTGAAGTGCCCTGCCCTGGCCGTGACTCATTCTGTTCTACTGAATCATCATTCTTAGCTCCACAAATATGTGCAATTATGTGTATGAGTAAACAGTAAAAATAAAATAGTGTGGGGGCTGGACCGATGGCTCATTGGCTGAGAGCAATGGCTGCTCTTCCAGAGGACCGGGGTTCAATTCCTAGCACCCACATGGCAGCTCACAACTGTCTGTAACTCTAGTCCCACTGGATCTGACATCCTCACACAGATGCAGACAAAACACCAATACCCATAAAATAAATAATTAAACCTATAAAAATAAATAAGTAAGTAAATAAATAAAGGGAAAAAATGTCGGAGCTGGAGCGATGGCTCAGTGGTTCCCACCCACACCAGGCAGCTCAGAACCGCCTGTAACTCCAGCACCAGGGGATCTGACGCCCTCTGCTGGTCTCTGGAGACACTTACACTCCAGCGCACATGCCCGCACACAGCCCATCACAGGTAAACACGTGACGTAAAATCAAATGTTTCCTTGAGAAGTCACAGAAAAGAAAAAGGCCACCTTCCTTAACGGCCCGCTGAGGCCTCGTTCTCTTACCTCGATATCGTCCTTATTTTTAAGGAGCGGCGCTTCCATGATATTCCTCAGACAAAACGAGTCCGATTCCACGTCGAACGGGGTGCCGGTGAGCTCCGAGATGCGGTCCCAGTGCCTCTGCTTCATGGCTTTGTTGGTCATCATCTCCAGCAGAGGGCACGACTCGCTGAAGTCGTCGATTCTTTTCTTGAGGTCCAGGAAAGCCTGCCAATCTTTCAGCCCTTTGGGAAGTTTCCGACATCTTTCAGGAAGCAAAGGGGAAAATGTAGGGTTCTAGACTTTCACCTGTGCAGTGGTTGTTTGTCAGTTTTGATTCTGAGGAAAGTTAATTTTTTTTCCCTTTGAAGAAAGTGTTATGAACAGACAACAATAATATAGCTTGTGAGGCATCTTTTAATTTTTATTTTATGCGTATGTGTTTTTGCCTGTATGTATGTCTGTGTACTATTTATGAACCTGGTGCCCAGGAAGGCCAGAGGAGGACATTGGATCCCCTGGAACTGGAAGATAGCTGTGAGCTACCATGTGGGTGCTCAGAAGAGAGCCTAGGTCCTTTGAAAGAATATCTACAACTTTTGATTGCCGAGTTATCTCTCCAGCCCCTGAGATACCTCTTTTTAAGACTTATTTTCAATTAGTGGGGGTGTCTTATGTGGTGATGAGCACCATATGCATGCAGTACCTAGTGAGACCAGAAGAGGGTGCCCTAGAGCTAAAGCCACAAGTGGTTCTGAACCAACGAGGTGGGGTGTGTGTGTGTGTGTGTGTGTGTGTGTGTGTGTGTGTGTGTGTTTACCAGGAACTGAACTTGGGTCCTCTGAAAGAGCAAGAAGCACTCTTAACCCCTGAGCCGTTTCTCTATGCTCAGCTTGTAAACTGCCTAGCAGGGGCCGTGTAAGATGAGCACTGTAAGAGAGCAGGCTAATGGAAGCGAGGCTCACCTGTTCTGGAATTCCTGAAGCTCTGCATTGATTTTTTCAATATCTACATCTCCCCAGAGTATCTCATAGTAACCACTGATGCTGCCCATGACAGTGTCGTACAGGCCATACAGCTTCTGAAGCAAGTTGAGTTCTTTCCTGGGGAATAAAATAATCGCGTGTGTGACGTCTCTCAACACAAGATGCGCACAGCAGCAGTACCTTCCAATACAAAGGTCAAGGCCCATAAAATCCTAAGTCTGTAGAATCACTCAGTATGAACAGATGCTTTGAGTATTTTGTAAAGGACGAATGTGGACTCTTTTCTAACTCTGAGACATGGGCTGCAACGCTAGTTTCCTTGTTTGTTGCTGTCGTTGTTTTGTTTGTTTGTTTGGAGATAGGGTCCCACTGTGTAGCTCTGGCTGTCCTGGAACTTGCTCTGTAGACCAGGCTGGCCTTGAACTCACAGAGATCCCCCTGCCTCTGGCTCCTGAGTGCTGGGATTAAAGGTGTGCATCCTCACACTTTAGTTATCCTATTTTTCAGATTTTTTTAAAATATTTATTTATTTATTTATTATGTACACAATATTCTGTCTGTGTATGCCTGATGGCCAGAAGAGGGCACCAGACCCCATTACAGATGGTTGTGAGCCACCATGTGGTTGCTGGGAATTGAACTCAGGACCTTTGGAAGAGCAGGCAATGCTCTTAACCTCTGAGCCATCTCTCCAGCCCCTATTTTTCAGATTTTTAAATCACTGCCCTTTTCCATGGCCTTAAGAAAGACTTCACTTTCCCTCGGAGGTTATTCCCAGTCACGTGTGCAAAACAGGAGGGGGAGAGAAGAACTTGAATGTTTCCCACAGGGTGACATCACAGTGGAAGATCACTGCTCTGTCACCCGCAGGTGGCAGGCTGTGTTTCAGCAAAACATAAGAAGAGAGCTCCGAAGACACTATTCCCGTGTCTTCCACTTGTGTGGCTTGTACTTACTGTAGCCGAGAATTCAGAATTACTCAGTGCCTTCCTACAATAACATAGAAACATACTGACAATGTACACGAGTTCATTAAACTCAATAATTTGTGAGGAATGATAGATTTCAGGGGCCAGCTATATGGCTCAGCAGACAGAGGTACCTATCTCTAGCCAAGCCTGAATTTGAACCCTGGGTTCATGGGTCCCACATGGTGGAAAGATATAATCAACTCACATAAGTTGTCCTCTGATCTAGACACACATGCTGTGGCACACACACACACACACACACACACATACACACACACACTTATGAATAAACAAATGTGATTTAAGTTTTAAATAAAATAAAATTTCATTATAAAAATGGTCCATGTGCTACTAGGCCAAGTGGAGTCCGCCTTTAATCCCAGCTCTTGAGAGGCAGAGGAAGGCATAGATCTCTGTGAGTTTGAGGCCAGCCTGGTCTACAGAGTGAGTTCTAGGGTAGCCAGGGCTGTTGCACAAAGAAACCCTGTCTCAGAAAAAGAAAAATGGAGCATGAGTCAGATGGCTACATGCCCTGCTATACTGGAGACTGTCATATAGGATCTCACACCAAGAGTGTAAGTAAGAATTTCTCAATGATCGTGTAGAAGTGAAGATTTTCTAGAACCTTACCTTAGATAGCCTAATTCAACGAGCCATAGAGGAGAGTCAGACAGCTGAAATTACATAACTGGTGAACGGTTTACTCTCAGGGATTGGTGTTTTAGAAGTAAAACCATCTACCCTAAGTGGCTGAATCACTCATCTCTCTTCTAAAGACATGGTTTCACCCCCTTCCAGTGCTGGGGATCAAACCCAGGTCCTCACACGTGCTAGGCCAGCGCTCTACCCTGAGCCCCGCCCCAGCCTTAACACTCACTGCTTCTGAGAAAAGATTCTATTAACTCTATCTTGTGTAAATCCTAGATACATTGGTTAAAATCAAGCAAGTTATCTAACTGCTAATTTCAATACCATCTACGCCTACACCATGAGGCAGAGTACCCTTGACATAAATGCAGTCAGAAGGGAAATCAAAAGCACTGGGGTCAAAATGGCAGTACTTCTGACTCACTAATCCTGTACAGAATTAGTAAAAAGAGAAAGTAAGTCTTAAGCTAAGTTTATGTGAGATCAGAATTATTGAAATGGACTCTCCACCTTCTCCAGAAACGTTCTTTTGCATATGGCTTTGACTTTTCTGTTGATGACATACTCGGGGGGGGGGGGAGAACCTCCAGGAAGGAAGGGGATTGAGGTTCGGGTCCTTCAGAGAGAGGAAGTTGAGGGAGTTGGTCACAGGGGATCCACAGTCAAGAACAAGGTGACAAATTCTGCCTTCCCCCTTGTATACAGTGTGGGATCCCAGCCTAGGGAGTGACGCCACCGGAGTGGGAGGGTCTTCTCACTTGAGTTAGCCAGGCAATCCGCTGTGGGCCTGGCCTGGTGGGGTCCATTCTCCCATGTGGCTCTAGATCATCGAGCTGACAGCTGACACGCGCCATCATAGAGGCTATGCAGGCATCTAGCAAGTCAGATGGATCAGGCGATCGTCAGGGGAATATTGCAGGTGCATCCTGAGCCATGTTTTCTGCATATGCATCTAGTGATTTACATGGGATACTTGCACTTTGGCAGAACTCACCTGATTTTATGTAAAACCTCATAGTCAGTCACTGGTAATCCAAAAAGTTGTTCCCCAGATGAGTATGTAACAAATTTCCTCCACAGATCATCAAAATTGGCCTATTACGAAGATTTTGAAATTTTACTGGCATAGAATTAATTGAAATCCCATTAAAGTATCATTTATTATAATTGAGAGAACGGGTAATACATGTGAAAGGTTTTGTGGGGCAAATTTATTCTGACCCAAGTCACCAGAGGAAGGCAGAGCCCTTGGGGAAGCTGCTTCCAAGCTTTCTGCACACATCTATTTTATATTAAATTCAGTCTTTAATGAACTAAGTGGTCTCCAGAAATGCTATATTTCAAATCCCTGTCTGCTCGTTTGAAAGTAATGAAGTGGTATTTTTAAAAAATCTGTAATTCAGGCTTTTTCGCTACTTTAGACTAGCACCCTCTCTCTCCCGCTGGACTCACAACTGAGGAAAGCACTGCAGAGAGCACAACAGAGCCAGCCTGTGTTCTCTATGTGCAATACGGCCTGTGAAGCAAAACATTCAACTGCAGCACCGAGGATAACACACATCTTTTCCTTCCTTAAGATTTATTTAACTATGTGTGTGCATGTGTATTTGTGTGCGTGCGTGCGTGCGTGTGCGTGTGTGTGTGTGTGTGTGTGTGTGTGATGCCTGTGGAAGCTAGATGACGGTGTCAGATTCCCCCAGAGCTGGCGTTACAGGTGGTTGTGAGTCGCCAGAAGGGTGCTAGGAACCAAACTCAGGCCCTATGTAAGAGCAGTTTAAAAAAAAAAATACTAACTTCTGAGCCATCTCTCAAGCACCCTCATTTTTTTTAATTTTTAATTAAAAATTGAATAGCATATATGTGATTGCTAAAATATGAACCATGATCCAAGCAAGGATATAACAGTAGTGACCCACCTGGTACAATCTAAGCACGCCACAAAAGTCCGTTCTCCACAGAGTGAACATCTCCCTAAACGCATCCCCCCCCCCTTACCTCTCACTGTTGAGTCTGAAAGTAGGAGGAGGGTGATTGTTTTCCTCTTTCTATGAGTATTTCACCTCTCTCTTTTTTTTTTTAACAAAGTCCATAACTCTCACCTTGATTTGTTAGTCAAGACCTGTCTGTACATAAACGTTGAATTCTCCTTCCTCTGCCTAACTCTAATTATTCCTCCACAGTGCATCTGAGATGCCTCTTCTTCTAGGGAGCCTTCTCTGCTTGCCCCAGTAGATCCCATCTGGGCTGGGAAACCCCATAGACCTGCGACCAAATTCCAGGTTTCTGTAACTAGATCACGGCACTCACAGCGTGGCCTCAGACCCCTGGCCTCTAGCTTGCTGTGTTCTTGTCAGATTTCAGCAGCCTAGCGATAACAATCACTGCTAAGTGAATCTTGGATTTATTTATTTTTATCTTAAATGTATGAGTGTTTGTCTGCATGTGCATATGTCCACTGTATGTGTGCAGTACCTAGAGTGACCAGAAGAGGCCGTTGGAACCCTGAAACTAAAATTACACATGGTTTTGAGTCACTGTATGAGTGCTAGGAACCAAACCCAGGCCCCTGCAAGAGCAGCAAATGCTCTTAACCACTGAGCCATCTCTCCCGCTATCATCCCCCTTCAATGACTGGGCACGCAGGAGGGACAGGAAAAATAAAAATGTTTTATAGGAACATACTGTAGGAGCTAGGGTTTGTAAATGAGGGGATCATAAACAGAGAACAGACTCCCTCAGGACTCGTAGGGGGCAAATCCACTGAGCACTCCCCGAATCTAGAAAGCATTCATCCAAATGGGTGTGTTCTTTTTCTCAGGATGCTCTCAGCAACCTGAGGACATAAAAAGATGATGAATGCTTGGTCTGACCCAAGGAATACTATACAGTCTGGACCACGGGAGTTTTCGGGTATGCAGATAAAAGGAAGACTGATGCTGACAATAAAAGCTAGGCAGGAACATGACTGCCCAATATTTAAACTCCTAAGCTGATAAAATGTATTGTACGATCCATCTTCCTCACTGTCATCATATATCAAAGGAGATGCTAAGAAGCAGGACAAAGGATGCAGGTCACAGTCACGGCATCAATCTCCAACAATACTGAGATGCTGTGTATAGGCTGGAGGGAGGGATGGAAAGAAGGGATAGAGGACACTGTGTAGGAGATTAGAGTGCAAAGCTGGGTGTAGTACCAAAACCAGTAATCCCAGCACTGGGGAGACAGAGGCCTGGGCTTGGTGGACAGCCTAGTCTACTGGAGGAATTCCAGCCACTACCTTAAAAAGGAAAGAAAGAGGTCAATGATGACAGGGAATGACACCAAGATTGTCCTCGGGTCTCCAAATATGCGTGCACATGTGCCCGCACACATGGGTGCATACATGTATATGCACACACACACACACACACACACGATTAGACTGCAACTAAAATCTGCATGTATTTTTAACATTAATTCTTCTATTATAGAATAAAACATAAAATTTCTTCAAAATCACATATAAAAATATTGCCCTGTCAATGTGACAGAAGAAACTGTTTTTACCTGGAATATCTGCAGCCTGTTGCTAGCTTCTTGGGGTGGAATATTTGGCACCATCGGTCCTTCCTGTAAGAAATAATATTATCTCTATTCTTACTCCTGGTCAATATATGTCAGCTTACTGGTTCTACCTAGAAGGCACTTTATTTTTTTAGAAAGATTTAAATTGTTTTTAAGCGTGTGTGTGTGTGTGTGTGTGTGTGTGTGTATGTGTGTGTATGTGTGTGTGGAGGGGGAATATGCACACATGAATGCAGGTACCCTCAGAGACCAGAAGAGGGCATCAGATCCCCTGTAGCTAGATTATGGGCATTGTGAGCTGCCCAGCATGGGTGCTTGTATTCAGACTCCACCCCTCATGTCTGAGCAGCAAGCACTCTTAACAATGTGGGTGCTGGGATCCAACTCCATCCTCTGCAAGAGCAGCGAGCATAACTGCTGAGCCATCTCCCCAGCCCTCTATCAGAAATTCTGTGAGAATTCTTTCCCTAGGGAGCAGACAACCGGCCCTCTGCTCCTTCCTCACCCTTCTAGATCGCTCCTTATTTTAACAGTCGACTCTGCATGCTTTCTCTGTAACATGCTCAGAGGGATAGCCACTCCCTTTAGGGGTACTGGTAAATATTGGGTCATTAACATGCGGTCTGCCTGCTTCTGAGATGCGTTCCTTTTAATTCCACAGAAACCCACACCGCAGACACTGGAACACGCAGTGTCCCACATGTAATTTACCGTCTCATAGGCTTCTGTGAAGTTGTTAACGTCCTCACGAAAAACTTCCACCGACTCAAGCAGGTTGCTTTTAAACTTGGGTTGCACTTGAACAAGTTCATCTTGCACGGACACCTATAATCAAAAAAAGAAAAAATAGTCGGCACGAGGGTCTGAGTGATGTATTAAAAATAAAAACTGTAATTCCTCTCTGCGAGTCCATGTGCCATAGATGATGGGGATAAAGATGTTTTTGCTCACTTGTTACAACATCCACGAACACCCCAGACTCACTTGCAGGACACCCAGCTCTCTCTGCTATTAAGAGGACTGCTACACCACAGATAAAAATTAACCCAAAATGCATCCATGACCTAATTGTAAAGACTAAAATTATAAAACTAAGAAAACATAGATGTGATTCTATGTAACTGGATTGTCCAATGTTTTCTGTATGATATGAAAACATGAACAACAAGAGAGAAAAACAGAATTGATTAGGCTTTAATTAAAATTTGAAAAGGAAACAACAACACTTCAAAAGATGCCACCAAGAAGGTGAAGTGAGAGGAGCTGGGGATGCAGCTCAGCGATAGGACTTCACTGAGCACAGGTGAAGGCCTGAGTGTGATTGTTCCCGGCATCACCAATCAATCAACCAATCAATAAAATAAAGAGACTGTCCACAAAAGCGGGAAGAAAATAGCTACAAGTCATATATGAGATAAGGAACCCAGAATAAATTAAACACTCATAAAACCTAGCAATAAGAAAATTCAATTTAAAAATAAAAAGAGCAAGCAGCAGCTTTCTATGTACGTATCTCTGGTGATCTACAAATGGCCAATAAAACGGCCACGGGAATGGATGCTTAATGTCATTATCAATTGAAAAAAAAGGAAGTGCCTGGGGTGCTGTGCATGAACCCTGAAAATGAAGCTCAGCTAAAGACTCCTCACAGAGACCCACGGAGCCCTGGATTCCATCTGCATTAAATATTCAGACAAGATAAATCCACGGGCGTGGAAAGCGCTCCCGGGCCAGGGTGAAGCAGAGAACGAGAAGGCCTGCTAACAGGCACAGGGTTTCTTTGGGGGATAATGAATATGTTCTAGAAAGAAGTCATGAAGGTTTTTATATAATTTTGTGTCTATACTAAAAATTTAAAAAAAAACCTGCTGAATCGCCTATTTCAAAATGGCCAGTCTTCTAGCAAGCAGTTATATATCAATAAAATTATTATAAGTGATAGGTTTTAAAAGTTCAAATGTGTTTTCCTGGAAGCCACGACTTAACAGGGAGACAGAATGAAGTGAGTGCTTACAGCTTTGCTCTGCAGTTTGTTGAATGAGTATCTCAAGGTATCAACGCCCTCGGACTCCTCTTTGGTGACTTCAACTTCAAATCTGTTTAAAATGCCGTAGGCTTCCTGCAAGGCAGAGGCAGAGTTCAGAAACATCTCAGAGGAAGAACGTGCCAGAAGCTTGGGCTACATTCTGAAAACGCTGCATCTTCATGGAGAATAGGGAATTCCACTAGCATGGTTTCCAAAATCAACGCCGTGGAGATGGATTTCGGGTCTCACCAGCATCCACAGTGCTGACTGACTCGGAATCGCAGGCTCGGAAACACTCACTTCACTGTTGCCTAGGCCATTTTGGTGGAGATGGAGGCAGAACAATGAGAACCCCGATCTTAGACAATATCCTCGGAGCTGTCTCCTGCCCTTCTCCTCTTTGGTCTTGGGGCGATGCCTGTGGGACGGTGTCCCATACATATAGACGGGGTTAACTCTATAGCAGTGGAGAGCAATGGCCTGAGGGCTGGTGTCCCATACACATAGACGGGGGTTAACTCTATAGGAGTGGAGCTCAATGGCCTGTGTGACCACTCAGGAGAGCGGAGACCAGAATGGGTCATGGGATGGATTAGCAGTTGGATTTACCAAAGAACATTGGCTGAAGTAGCTAAGTGTATGGTAATTTATTAAATAGTGAGGCCATCAGCACCCCAAATTCCCAAATACTAAGATCTTTAAGGTAGCAAAACTGTGACCCATTAGTTACCAAAGAGAATAAAACTCTGTTGGAGCCAGGAGCTCAGAAAGCCTCCAGTAGCAGCCAGCATTGGGTACTCGGGTGGTGTAAGAGAGACATGGCCGCCTCGGGCTCAGGCATTAAAATACCTGGTCCCCAGCTGGTGTCACTCTTTAGGGAAGTTTAGAACACAGAGTCTTGCTGGAGGAAGCATGTCCCCTGGGGAGGGATCTGAGAGCATAAAGCTTTCCCCCTCCTTCCAGTTTGCTCTCCCTGCTTTGTGCTTGTGTTTGAAGATGGGAGCTCTCAGCCGACGGCTCCTGCCACCATACCTGCTGCTCGCTGCCATGCTTCCCCGCCATGATGGATTCTCAGAGCCGTAACTAACACGGGCACCACAAGGAGGCAGTGTGAGGACCAACTCCCTCCCACACTGTAAGCTACATGGGAGCATGCCTTCTGAATGGGAAACCAGAGTGGTTCCCTCCATCACTAAAGCCAAAGCGACTTTATGTTCTAAACACCGTTAGCTATAAAATACACATGACAGCTGAAACCATGACATCCCCAACAAGCTCTAGGACCAGGTAATAAATGGGTACGCCTGGAAGCCATTAAGCTTGTCTTACGCCACAGAGAATTTACAGTCTGATAATTCACCACTGCTGTAATGGGAAAAGAATATAATGCCTTTCCTGACATTCTCTTTTGTTCATCTAAGCTCCGGCAGGTGAGTACTGAGTCTACACGGGCTCTCGTGGTTGTCCCGCCTATGGCACGTGTGTGCGTGTAAGCAAGACCAACAACTGGATCTATGAAGCTAAAGCTATTTGGATAACTCACCTAACAAAGCAGAATTAATACGAGAGGGTGCAATCGATACCTTCCCATAATATGTTGGTGTCTCTATCAAACACTGAACATTGTCTAACCCAATAAAGCATGCTAATATTCCTCTGTAAGTGGTTGTTAAAGTCATTACAATTCCCCCAAAGATATCAATACCAGAAAAGACTATTCCATCTACCAGATGAAGAAATGTATTACAGAATCATTCTTTTAAAGCTTGCTTCTATTTTTAAAAGGCACTTTGAGAAAAAAAGATGTAACCATTTCTTACTTCAATGGGCCCCAAAGTCATGTCCATTTGAATTTCATTGTCCCGAATGCAAGACAGAGCTTCCATGGCGAATCTGACATCGTCCAAGTCGCGAATGGGCCTGGACAACTTTTTCAAGTACTCGTTGATAAATGTTATCATGTCGAACATCTTCTTTTTATATTCTTCGTTCAGATAGCGACAGAGCAGCATCTTCCAGGCCTTGGCCTCGATTGACAAGGCTAGCTTCATTGGCTCTAGTGAGGACAGGAAAGATGAAAACGGAACTCTGAAACGGTCTGCTGTGTGTGCTGTGGACTTCCGCACCTCAGCCGTCCTGCTCCCTTCAGTATTCACTGACCACGGGTGGCTGCTGGTCACCTGAAGCGTGCCTAGCCTGCTAGCGTGTTGGAAAGTTTCTAGATTTCAAAGAGCACTCCTACGAATCTGGCTGCGGGAAAAGGACGTGACAGTCTGTGCAGGAGTCTCTAAACAATAGTACTGCTGGGAAGCCATGCACTGCTCTGAACACCCTACACGCCCTACACGCACCATCAGGCCCCGCTTATTCCCTCTGGTTCCCTCTAGGGAAGCCCCTTTCAGGGGAATGAAATCTGCTGTTTCTCCCAGCAAACCGTGGCCCTAGCTTGCCTTCTCTTCTACTCCTCTCTCACCCACGTGGTTAGAATATTTAGACAACATGACTCTGCCCTGACTGACCATCCCAGCTAATACAGACCTATAAGAACCGATCCGAAGAGTCCTTTTGTTGGGATGGGGCGGAGGGGGAGTTGAGAGTCAGGAAAGCACAAGACCCAGAGGAAAGAAGGCAGGAGGAGCAGAGAGAATGTGCATCCTCGGCCTCCTACATTGTCCCCTGGCCCTAGTCCATTCATTCTGAAGGTCCAGTGCATTGTGGATTTTGTGGTTTACATTTTTCATTTTAGTTTTTTAAAGATTTCTTATTTTAAAATTAAAATTATGCCTATGTGTATGGGGTCAGGGGACGTGTGCACATGAGAGTCGCTCCCACAAAGGCCCAAAGAGAGCATTGGATGCTTTGGATTTGAGTTACAGACAGTGGTGAGCCACCTGACATGGGTCCTCGGGAACCAAACTTGGGTCCCCAGTAAGACTAATATATGCCCTTAGCCAGTGAGCCATCTCTCCAACCCCATAGCTTTATATTTTAACATAAATTGGGTGTGGTGGCTTATGTCTGTCATCCCAACACTCAGAAGAAGAGGCAGGAAGATCCGGAGTTCAGGGTCATCTATATATTCAGATAAGACTCTGTCTTAGAAAAAAAAAAAAAAACAAAAGAAAAAGGGGGGGTAAAAGAATATGAATGGCCTAGAACTACTTGGCATTTACTATACCAAAGCTGCTTGCTGAATCAAACACCATTTCATGGGTCATAGACTGCTGTCCCTTCCATCCAAAGCAAAATATCTTTGCCTTGCAAAAATAAGATACTACTTTGTATAACTCTTAGACTCCAGTCTGGCCACACCCCCTGTAGCAGCCCTGCCCCCTTACAGATGCCAGCAAGACATTATTTGTGAGTCCCTAGCTACCAAATTTCCAGGTGCCCAGGTTTCTCACCTACAGAGGTGAGTTTGTGTCAAAGCAGCTACCACCTGTTCCCCACCCTTTCCCTACCTCCTGCCTTGGAATCAGAGAGCCTGGCTGGGGCCTGTGCTATGAAACCTCCCCCATCCTCAGAGAGCTAAAGATAGGGGACCATGGGCCCTGATTCTCTCCTCCAAGGCCCCACCATGCTGTCGTCTGTCTGTTAATAACTCCTTACTCCCAACAATCCGTCTCAGTGTCCCCTTGATCCCGCACTCATGCTTGACATGCCAGTAACACTATTGGCATTACCCGTGTGCAGTTCAAGGGCTCCCACAACGATAATGGGCTTCAGCTCGTCAATCTCCTGTTCAAACGTGGCGTAGTGGAGAATTTCCGATCTGATTTCAGTCAGGGACGGGTTGTTGGCTAAAAACTCCTGTCGGGTAAGGCAACAGTTACAACTTCCTTTGGTCCTTGGGGGTCTAACACACACACAGCTTTAACAGTTAAGATGGAGAACTGCACTTTCTCTATAGTGGGATTCCCTACAGGGAGATGGAACCCTAAGACTCTCTGCAAGGAAACAGTGTTCATCTGAGCCAATGGAACTGGTTCAGTGGATTCACACCCAAAGGCACACCTGAGCACAGCAGGGAGCACCATTCACCCTTTCTTAGTTCCAGTATAGTTCAGCTCTCTGCTCCCTGACATGGCAACATACATTCTGACTGGGTGGTCCAAGTCACAGGGCCATCCAGTCATGTATGTGCACATGGATACTGCCTTTGCCACATTGCCTTCCCTTCGTCCTGGGAGGATCCTAACAGCGGTCGGCATACTTGTCCACTTGCCTATGCTATGAGCCAATGGCTATCCTGGTAAGCCCTAGGATACAAGTCGGCCTGAAGGAGTGACACAGGACACTGGGACTGGCGAGTCTGGGTTCAGTAGCCTTGCTGTGTCTCTACCGTGCATGGCTATCCTCTGTGTGCAACCTGGGCTAGGCTGTGATACATCCTCACAGCTGGGCTGGTGGACTCCCTCACAGAAGGAGAGGGCAGGAAGGGTCACAGGACCCTCACCAAGTATCCAGCTACTCTTCCTACCCAACTGGATGCAAGTCTGCCTGAACTTCCCATGACGTTGAGGGTCTCTTGGGACACAGAGAACATGTTGGAAAGGCAAAAGGAAGGTGACTTCATGTGCATAGCCCATGAGGAAGGGACCACCCATGCTGGTATGGCTTCTCACAGTGCAGCTATTGTAGGGTCGCTCCATGAGGACATAAACTCATTTGTTCCCCCAATGGGAACTCTGGAGCGAAATGCACTTTGTCACTGGGACTTTATGAGGGAGTAGGTATATGCTGCCTAGTCCTGCCAGAGCCTCACTGCTGTCAACTGCCTCAGGGCATCACTGAGACAAGAGCAAGATGTTTGGCGTTCCTGGGTTCTTGCCCTGCTTTCAGAGTCCTCTCATTATCCCCAATAGCTTCATTCCACCCCTACTCCATCTACATATACACACACACACATACACACACACATACACACACACACATACACACACATACATACACACACATACATACACACACACATACACACACATACACACACATACATACACACACATACATACACACACACACATATATACACACACATACAAACATACCCCTCAAGGGTCAAAGATAAACAAGCACAAACACCTACAATCAGTAGAAACACACCTTGACTTTCACATCCCGGTCCTCGGTCCACAGAGTCTTGTACTTATGAAAGTCCTGCAGGGCCTCATTGGCCGCCTTCCGCAGAGAATTCACAGAGGAAGACAGGAGGAGGACCAGCTTGGAGATGTCTTTGTGCTCCGCCACCCCAGGATAAAAGTTCTTCAGTTTCCTAGCAGGGATGGTTTCTTCAAACGACCCTGAAAGCAGATGTTTCGATGTAGATAGTATCTATGTTTAGCTCGAAGATACTATCAACTGTAATATGAATGGGGGTCTTCTAAAAAAAATGTGTGTGTGTGTGTGTGTGTGTGGTTTGGTTACATATATAATTTATTTACTTGGAAGTCAAGATGACAACATCAAAGGTCTGTTCTCTCTTTCCACTAAGTAGTTCCCAAGAAGAGAGATCAGGCTGTCAAACATGGTAGCAAGCACTTTTACCCACTGAGCCATCTCACCAGCCCCTGGTATGTGTGTGTGTGTGTGTGTGTGTGTGTGTGTGTGTGTGTGTGTCTTCTCAGGTACGCCATACCATGGAGGTCAGCGGTTGACTTGTGGGAGTCAATTCTCTCCGTTCACCATGTGGACTCTGGAGCTTGACCGTGGACTGTCAGGCTGGGCAGCAAGCACCTCTACTTGAGCCATCTCACTGCTCCCTACCCTACCCTGGCTTTCTTTCTGAGACAGGATCTCATACTAGCCCAGGCTGGTCTTGAACTTGCTGCGTAGCTGATGAGGCCCTTGACTTCTGACCCTCTTATAGCTACCTCCCTCATGAGTGCTGGGATGATGGGTGTGTGCCACCAGGACTGGCTATTTGCTTTTGATTGGCCCATGCAGCACATTGAAAAAAAAAGAAAAGCAGTCTTTGACAAGTAAAAAGCATGAGGCTTCCTGTGAAATTACAGGCTTCCGGGCTGGAGAGATGGCTCAGAGGTTAAGAGCATTGCCTGCTCTTCCAAAGGTCCTGAGTTCAATTCCCAGCAACCACATGATGGCTCACAACCATCTGTAATGGGGTGTGGTGCCCTCTGCTGGCCTGCAGGCATACACACAGACGGAATATTGTATATATAATAAATAAATATTTTTTAAAAAAAAGAAATTACAGGCTCCCAGTTTCTCCCTTGCAACGGCATACCATGGAATTAGGGGCCTGTGTTCCTGCACAACTGCTCCGTGGACTAGAACTATGGTGTTTACCCAGTTGCCTTTGATCCCATTTGCTCTGTTACTGAATTAGATTTATGCAAAATAAAACACAAGGAGCTGGGCTAACTTGATCAGCTAGCTGACTAGTGCTGTGGCATGCCTCGGTAGCTCAGCGTTTCGTATGACTGAGAACTTAGCTGCATGGAAGACCACAACACAGCTGAGTCTTGAGAGACAGCGTAGCAGTTTAGAGCAAGCTGGGTTCCATTCCTAGCATCCACGTGGTAGCTTGCGACTGTTTATAACTCCAGTCCCAGGGAACCCTGCCCTTTTCTGATCTCAGTGGTTACCAGGCACACGTAGGGTGCACAGATATAAAACCATTAAGAGCACATCTGCTTATTCCTTCATGTTTCGAGACATCTGTTAGCAGTTTGGGGCTATCACCCATACTGCAGCGGTGAAAGGCCCAGAATGTTATGAGAGCACCTAGGCTGCTGAAAGGGGAATCAGTGCTGAGGTTCCTTCCACAATTACTACAGAACAGGGATGAAACTACAAACCTTTGTTCACCTGGGGCCAAAGCTAGAAATGATTGCGTGCGTGTGTGTGTGTGTGTGTGTGATATCAATCATACATATATTACAATCATAATTTATATATATACACATATATATGCACACACATATATGTGGGGACTGGAGATGGCTCAGTGATTAAGAGCAATTGCTGCTCTTGCAGAGGTCCCAAGTTCAGTTCTCAGCAAGCACATCAGGCGGTGACCACTCCAGCTCCAGGGCATCCAGTGCCCTCTTGTGGCCTCCGTGAGCATCTGCACTCACAGGCACACACATGTTGGGTTACCGGGGTGTTTTGGTTTCCGTACTTTCTTCCTTCTTCAGCAATTTCCCTGTGCTTGGGTGGTTTTGGTCGTTGGCGGTGCGAGAGGTGCTGTTGGGACTGGACTTGTTTTTTCTGACCTGCTGCTGGCCCCAGTGTGCCACTCCTCGGCTGACCTCCAGGGTAAACTGGATCATGCGGTTGATGGCTTGCTGAATGTCATCCAGGCTAGGAACCATCACCTGGGTGGGGGTAGGGGAGCAGCCCATGTGCAGTCCTCCCAGCGCTGGCGGCCTCCCCAACCCACCCGAGTCTAGCCATCCAACTCCCATGTACAGTCAGAGCCTACAGCTGGCTGCTTTTTGCTAAGGGTTGTGCCAGGAGGTGCTGCCGACAGCCGGTGCCCTGGAGACTTCCCAGTTTTACCCACTGCCGCTGGCCACAAGGTCAAGGAGTCCACACCAGTGGAATACAATCACAGAACGAGCTGGAGCACTGCGACTCCTTCTGAAATGTGTCAACTACAAAGCTCTCCTCTAGGCGGTCAGACTATGGGATGTGGTGTCAGGAGGGTCACAGGCTGTTCCTGATGGCACCAAGTCTACCGTGTGGCTTGGAGTCCCAGGCAGCAGGCAGCAGCTGAGCTGCCACTGGGAACCGCAGGAGCGTCAGGATACCACGTATGCAGGTTCCTCTCACTCCGCCCTACGATACTCAACAAGGTGCCTCATGATGCTGGGTTTGGGACAGGGACTGTGGCGGCTACGGTGCTTTATTTTATGTCTAAAGAAAACAGTAGGGTGATTCCTGTTTGCTAATCGATGGCAGACTAGACCTTCACGCCTACAACAGCTTGGAACACACCATGAGCATTTAGAAGTAGGGTGTGTGTGTACATGTGTGGGTTGCTAGGGATCAAACCCAGTGCCCCTCAATACACGAAGCAAATGTTCTACTCCTCAGCTACACCTCGGCTCAAAGGTTTTAATAATGGATGTAAGTGGTGTCATTTTTCTATTTTTATTCAAGACTAGTAGTTACAGGCTCAGGGACTAAGAAAGTGTACCTCTTTCATAGGCCCCACGCTCAGTTCCCAGAACCCATGCTGGGTGGCTCACACCACCTTCAGGTCCAGCTTCAGAGGAGCTGACACTCTCTTCTTGCCTCCATGGGTACTGCACTCACATGTACACATACACAGGCACCAATAAAAAGTTAAAAATAAACTTTTAAAGTAGATTAAAATAAAAACACACAGAACTAAGGTCTTACTCTAAGTGTCCAGTTCTCATATAGAATTATATTTTAATTTTATTTATTTACTTACTTTTGCAGTGCTGGGGACCCAAAGCCTCACACTCTAAACATTCACCCACTACTGTGTTTTTAAAATACATTACCAAAATATCACCAAAAATAAGACTTACCACATTAGGAATTGCAAGGTGCACTTCGGTTTTTATAAAGGATATGATATCCTCTGACCGTTTCCGCCCTTGGCTACAGTGAACAGACAGTAAATGTTAGCCTGGATTTCTGTTTCTAACTCTGTGTGTTTCCATCCTAAAAATAAACACCATCTCTAATCCTGGAAAAGCAAAGGCCACTACTCACTCCCAGACCTAAGTTCAGGGAACATCTAGAAGAGGGGGCAGAAAGAATGTAAGGGCTGGGGTGGGGAATGCTGGGAAATGCTTTGTCCTGGACGTGAGGTGACTTCGGCACATTAACTCTCCACACCTGTGGCTGCCTGCGCCAGACCTGCATGAGATCAAGCCAGCCACAGCAGTCAGCATCCCATAGTTAGCACTGACAAGACTCACCGGCTATTCAGGGCAGTGGTAGCCTTTAATTCCAGCCCTCTGGAGGCAGAGGCTGGTAGATCTCTATGAGTTCAAGGCCAGCCTGGTCTACAGAGTGAGTTCCAGGACAGCCAGAGCTACACAAAGAAACTCTGTCTTGAAAACAAAACAAAAATACTCATGGGGTAACCAACAAGCGAAAGAGAATATGAAGGCAGGAAGGGGGAGTGTTGGAAGTTCCTGGGGAGGGTGGGAAGAGGGGGTTGGGAGGTAGACATGATCAATGCACATTGTTTACATGTATGAAATTGTGATGAAATCAATAAAAGGGTACTGTACTTTTAAAACACCAAATTATACCAAAAGAATGCTATTTATCATAACCACAAACTGCACAGAATTTTAAAATAAGCATCAATTTGATATTCTCAAAAGTAGAATATTAATCACACATACATTTCCTAGGGTTTGAGTGTTGCTTCCTCTCAGCAATGACTAATCACACAATGTCACTAAATGGCATTCTTCTGAGAGACTAGAACAGGCTGACTTCCAGGTAGGGAGAGGGGCCATGGCTAGACAATAAAGGTGGTGAATTTCCAAGACGGCCGGAGTCCTCCTCACCCTCCTGACTTGAGACAAAAGCCTGGCAGCTTGGAACAAAGGCCTTGTAGGCTTTTGCCTTCCACCAGCAGGCCAGTTGTTGACGGACTGGCCCAACAAGGCCCAGGCTGGATGGGACAGTCACACTACAGTTCTGGGCCCAGCTGTCTTCAAACTGACTGGCCCTCAAGTAGGGGAGGAAAAGCCTCCAAAGGTTTTTAAACCCCTAGCCCTCCGGAGAAGATTGGTTCTGTCACTTCCCGAGTCCCCTGGGCTTTAAGAGGTCATTTTCTCTGTGTCTGTGTGTGTCTGTGTCTCCTCACCCTCAATAACCCTCGCTTCAACTGTTGAGTCTGTCTGCTGCTGCTTGTAACAGTGGAGGCTGGCAGCTGGAGAGCTGGACAATTGCAGGTATTCTGTAACAGAGCCCACCCTCAGAGAAGGGGCAGTCCCAAGCCAAAAGCTGTTCATAGGCTAAGGTTTGATATCATGAATGAAAGGGTGGTGAATTTGGAACAGGGACAAGTCCTGCCTGGCCTGTAGGGAGAAAGGACAGGAAACTCTACAATCAGGGGGCTTTAAAAACCATCAGCTTGGGCCAAATCAGCACGCCAACCCATTTTTGTATTTTCACTATGCTGGTACCCCTTTCTGCAGAACGGTTTATTAACAACTGTTTGCTTTCCACTTGTCTCTTGAGTTTGTTATTACCTTGTTTCCCAGTCAAAGCCTTCCAGAAACTGCTTTTTAAACAATGCCACTCGTGGATAGACAGACACACGGGCCCACAGACAGAGTGAGAATTAGTCTGACAAGCGGCCTCGGTCTCGACACCATTGCTCTTCTAGACAGGATTACTTGAAAAATGCAGACTTCCCATTCTCTTTCTCCTTCCGAATGCAAGAAATGCCGTCACTGGGACAAAACGCCCGTCTGTGTAGGGGCACCAGAGAGGAGTGGAGACCGAAAGGAAGATAAAGACACAAAGAGAAAGCCCCAAAGCACACATAGAGCTCCTTCTAACCACTCAGAGGCCAGTCCTTCAGTGAGGAGCGAACAAGCACACAAAGGGCACTAACTCAGCCCTGTGAGTCTCAGGAAAACAGGAGGGGCCAGGATACAAAGGGCGCAACCCGAGAGCCAGGAAAAGCTTCCCACATACAAGAGAGCTGCTCAGCCAAAAGGCGTCAGAGAAGCACATCGCCATCTCCAACCTGTCCCAGAAACCAAAGCCTCAAGAGGGGAGCCGCACAGCCTGCTCCCCACCAGCTTCCCTGCCTCCTGCTGGCTGCAGACTCAGGCTGGGAAACGGGCCCCCATCCTCAGGGACCTCTCAGAAGAAACACCTGCCCACGGCCAGCTACCCCACACCCACCCACCCTCCTCCACTCCCCCACCCCTCCACCCTTCTGCCATATGGGTCTGATTTCTCCCCCAAGCCCCTAAAACATGCTGTCTTTGGTGCTGGAGCCTGAACTGCTCAGATCCCCCTCCATGCTGCTGTCTGTCTGCCCATGGCGTTAATAATAATATATGTATGCTATATATGTAATATATGTATGTATATATGTTAATAAAATATGTGTATATATACTATCAGTTCTGTTCATTTAGAAAAAGCTACATAGCTTGGATACTAAAGACCCTTTCTCAAAAATAAACCAACAGATAAATAAGAGATACTACTGAATTACATTGTTACAGGCAGCTTATCAGACATATTTTGCACATTTTCAACTCGCCTTCCAACAAATATTCTCCGTTTCATTGTGTCCAAAGATAAGCGCGTCGCTTTTTGTAGACTGTCCAGTAACTGATGAGAGAAGAACGCATAGACCTCCTTACATTCCTGTAATAAGAAATCATGTTACATTTAATCCCAGAAATGAACTTCTAATGTCCCCAAACTCACGGCTCAATATTGAAAGCGACACGTGAGAAAGAATAAGCCGTGCAATTTCAGTAACACCGGAGGAATAAATTCAAGCCTACATTGCTTGCCTGGGTTTCTTTAGACCAACGCGTAACACGTATTTGTTAATGCATGAAGAAAGAGTGCTGGCAGAAACAGCCTGGCAAGCCATGTGAGGGCAGACCCAAAAGCAGAATTGCAAAGAAAGAGAGAGAAACAGTGTGTTTGAAAAATCCAGGCTTGCTCAAAATTCGATAATGCATACGAAAACTTGAGTGTGAGGTTTCTCGGTGCCTGGTGTGGGGGACGGGCAGAGGAGACACAGGAGTCTCTCCCCCCACCCCAGATCTACAATCTCACTGAGTCACTAACACACAAACCCCACAATAAATACCTTTTTAAATTCATCTTCTTTGTCATTGGTTTCAACTTCCTTTGCCTCAGTCTCATAGTCAAGGCTATCACCCTCTTCTGTCTCACTTCCAAAAACAACATGCTTCCTTTGCTCTGGACATAGAAGACAAAGAAAAGTAACACCTGAATATCTAGGGTTGCACTTATCCTATGTAACCAAGCCTTACTCCTTATTTGAAAGCTCTTTTCTTTGGCTTTTTTCTTGTTATTTTTTTTAAATTTTTCATTTATTATGTATACAATATTCTGTCTGTGTGTATGCCTGAAGGCCAGAAGAGGGCACCAGACCTCATTACAGATGGTTGTGAGCCACCATGTGGTTGCTGGGAATTGAATTCAGGACCTTTGGAAGAGCAGGCAATGCTCTTAACCTCTGAGCCATCTGTCCAGTCCCCTCTTCATTGTTATTTTATGTGTACAGGTGGTGTGCCTGTGGGATTGTACATGCACTATATGTGTGCAGTACCTGCGGATGCCAGAAGGGGGTGCTGAAACCCTAGAACTAGATTAACAGACCATTGTGAGCTGCAGTGTGAGTCCTTGGAACAGGATCTGGGTCCTCTGTAAGAGCAGCCAGTGCTCTTAACTGCCCAAGAAACTCCTTTTTAAAATAAATTTCATTTTAAAAAAAGTTCTCAGAAAAAAATGTTATTTAAGGTTTCTTTTATATTCCTTCTACTAGGAATTCAATTTAAAATAGCCATCTCAAAAGACACATTATTCAACTAAAAATATATTCCATCAATATACTCCATCTTTGTATTTAGAATTCAGAGGGGGAAAAAAACAACAAAACAAAACGGTGGGGAGGACCTGAATCTGGTTTATGCATCCACATAAAAAGCTGAGAATGGTGATATGCTTACAAGCCCAATACTGAAGAGACACAGAAAGGGGGATACCTGGGGCTTACTGGCCAGCTGACCTGGCCATATTGATGAATTCTGGGCCGCTAAGAGATGCTACCAATAATAAAAATTTAAATTAAAAAAATTAAAAAAATTTTTAAATCCCAGGTGTGGACTGGTGAGGTGGCTCAGTGGGCACAGGTGCTTGTGGCTGCATGATGACCTGAGTTCTGTTCCTGGAGTCCACCCAGCAGGAGCAGAAAACAGACTGTCACACGTTACCCTCTGTCCCCCACACAAAATGTATGTAATTTTAGAAAATTTAAACCAGGGAGACAGCATCCTGGGAAAAGTCATCAGAGATTGACCGTTGATCTCCACGTGGGCACCAGCACACACACACACACACACACACACACACACACACACACACACAC